TCTTTGGTGACTTTGTGCATGCTGGTTCATCTAAATCTGTTAGACATCTGTAAAAAAGCTGCTTTACCTTACACAGAGATAAACTCATGAACATTTGTGAGGCACACTGGCCTTGAGGAATACGTAAGTACCTAGATTGCCATTATCAGAAATAAGGCAGCCCTGATTTGAATAGGGGAGGAGCAGTAGAGCTATGAAAGTGCTCCTTTGTCCTATGGTGCAAACATAAGCAATGCTAGGTTGGGCTAATAATGCTCTGTAGCTCTCTTCACTGCATGTATCACTCTGGTAAATTTGTGGCTGGATGTAGCATTTTAATATTGCATTGTTAGCTGACTTGCAAATTAGTGCTTCAACCACTGTTGATGTCTTTTCTTGTTACAGCTGAAAATGGAGAAAGCTGCTAAACGGAGAGGGAAAAGTCCAGTGCCATCAAAGAAGCCATGAGATCAATAAATAAACAAATAAATATTTATTATTTGGCACACTGCTCAGATTGCATTGAGTATTTTTCTCTGTGCCTACCTGCATACTTGTGTTTATTAATTTATTTATTCTGTTGTTTTGTTATTTTGCTGAAGTTAATTTTTAATTATCTTGTTATAATAAAATTGATTCTTTAATCAATGTGTTTCTAATCTCCAGAACTGTTACACAGATATTTATTTGAGAATGGAAAATCATATTTAGAGAGTTGCAGAACTATTATTTAAGGTCTGAGAGAATAACCATGTATTTAAATATTAGGTTGTCAGAGGGCAAAAAAAAATGTCTTACTCTTAGACTTCTGTGACACATTTTCTTTATTTGTAGAGTCCTTTGAACTCATCTTGTTAATGGATTTTTACTTGGTGAGATTCGTTCTGTTAATATTGACATTTTAATATTTCCTTTAATTTTTTTTCCTTTCTGTTAGCTTCATCTCCTTTACATAAAATTCAAACATACCATTCTTCTATCACACTTCTCTAGGCTCTGTTCTTGCCATCATATAAATATTTTTTTACATGTGGCATTCTGTACTCTTGTAAATCCATTTCCACACTTATGAGCTACTTGAAGGGATCTTGCTTGTATACTTTATCCCAGATTTCTCTGGTGGTACCATTCTCCCAGTTTTGCTTGTCTGTTACTGTCCATAACAACTATTACACTAAACTTCTGAAAACATTAAGTGTAAATGGATTTGTTATTTATTGCATGTAAATAAATAATTGTATTGTGTTTGATACAAACTTATTTATCCAGCAGATTCATCATGTCTTATCCAACACAGACTGAGGAACTGTGCTTTTGTATTCTTTGTCCATATGCACAGCTGTGGCAGCATATGTTGTATTAAAGGTAGCGGACAGGAAAATATAAAATTTGGTGACTTTGTGTGGTGGTTTAATTCTGTGAAGCAGCACAGCAAGAACTTGGTACAGAATAACTGGCAGAGGGTGCAGCTTAGGAGGTAAAAGCAGAGCCTGAGCTAAGTTATTCTCCTTTGAAAAGAGAGATGTGTAAATCAGTTTGTCCTTAAAAATACTTGAAGATATCTCTTGGACTGGAGACTTTACAGATAGTATGTGTGTACTGAGACTTTACAGCAAGAATTGGGAGAAGCTTACAAAGCTTTGTTTCCCATTGGAGAGAAAGCCTCTATGTGCCTGATCGACAAAGGAAAAGAGGTGAGTTTGAGGGCATTTAGTGCAGGGCATCTTGCTTTTTTGTTCAGATATCAGCTATGGCAGGGAAAGAGAGTTCTTAGGAGTGCATGTGGGTCATACAGTGAGTGATGGAGACAGCTGGAATATGAATGAGATGGGAGTGGAAAGCTCAGTTGCTGAAATTCAAAGATTTAAGAGAGCCATTTACCTTTATTCTGACCTATACAGCCATTACTGCAGATGCCAATCAGACAAGCTAATCTGTTACTTTAGTTTAAATGCATAATACATCAAAGTGTCTAATGAATGTTATAAAAGTACCTTTACTGTTAAATTCTACACAGGTACATGCTGCTTTATTTTAATAAGTGAAAATACTAATTTGAGCTCCCTCTTCTGGCCCTGGCAAGCAATCCCTTCTACATATCCTCTGCTTGGTCTTGTAAGTAAATGGAGATTTCTCAATGGAATCACAAGAAAAAAACCCAAATATAAATAACATTGGTAAAAAAAAAAAGGTAACTAAAAATACAGAAAAAAAAATTCAGTTTTCAGAGACATTATCACAAGCTTAATAGCAGAAGTTTATTCTAGTTTTGGATACATCCCCGTGACTATACCCACTAGGGAATGCAGTTCTGGAATGTATATGTGTGTTTCAGGGATGAGCTTTCTCACAGAGAAATATTGTTAAAGGCAGAGGTTTTAATAGTTACAATAAACTTGTATTTTTCGTTCCTTTTTATACTGATAACATAACTCTTAGGAAATAATGTATTCTGCTTTTTTGACATTACAAATTGAAAATATTTGTCAGTTTTAAATGTTAACTGCCAAATTAAGTTCTACTAAGCTCTACTTTGATCATCATGAACTGGTTTTGTTAAAGTAATTTTAAAAATTTTTTATTCTGTGCTTAAATTTATTTAATGTTTCCACTTAAATGATATGAAGACATTATTACATTTATTTTATGGTATTACTTTTCAGTTGGAAAACAGGTTGGATCATAAAAATATCAGCTGCATTTAAATATTGCTTAGGAGTTCTGACCACTTTTCACTCATGTTGATGATGTCCAAGGAAAAGAAACTCAGTTTCCTTACTAGAAGGCATAGTTTTGCTTCTTGGTATTCACATAATACTTTTTTTCTGAAATTTTATTTATAACTGTACGTGAAAAACCTGGTACAATGCATCTTAATATTGCTGGCTGCCAAAAAAGGAACACGGATGTCATGTCTTAAGTGAAATTTGAATTTATCCTAAAAAAAAATAAATTTGTAGGATAAAATTGCAACCTCCAATTCTATTGAAAAATCTCTTTATACATCTATTACAAAAGAATTTTTTTTTAAATAATATAAAAGCAGAGACCAAATGCTAGTGTGTTTGCCATTAACACTTGTCATTAAATAAAGAGCTCATTTTAACTGATATTTGTTGATGGCTTGTTTTCCTGAGAGCAGCCATGAACTTTGAACAAAATATCATAGAACAGATAAGAACCATTCATGTGTATGATTTATTGGTGGGCGTATATCAGTTGTTCAGCTAGACACATTAACTCTTTCTGACCCTGATCCAAGGAATAAGGCATGAGGGAAAGGGTTTGTTGTCATACAAAAGAGTGCTCTAAACTGTTAAAGTCTAATCATATAGGTCTTGGGCAAAGATTAAGCATGTCTCATTTTTAAAATAGCTGACATTCAAATCAATATTTTGCCATTATTATTACACTCCTAGAGTGTAGAACAGCATTTTTTTACTAGTTTTAATCATCCTGTGAAGAGGCTTAGATGTACCTTGGCTATTTGTGATAGTGGACACGGGTCAGTGATCCTAAGTGAGGGGCAAGGGTGTCCTTCCCATCCTGGGTGTTTCTGATGCTAAATATAAACCATGTCTGTCTGCCTCAGGTTCGGGACGAAGGGGAATGTGATGTGTGAATTCACAACCAGTAATGGCACCCGTGCAGATTTACTTTGTCAAGCTGTCAGTGTCTTTACAGCATGTTGTGCATATTAAACAGTTGCTGGTCTTGTGGCTGTATGTCCCCGGAGCCTCTCTAGAAGTGGTTTGTAACCATGTGGCCTAAGAAAAAAGAGACAACTGTGCAGGTAGTTATAGTATTTTTTCTTAGCACAAAAATAATTGAAAACAACAACAAAGGTTTTCCAGTCTAAAAGACCTTGCGCAGGTGTACCTGTTGTTGGGTGTTTTTTGGGGTAACTAAATATAATACTTTTGCCTAGAAGCCTACTCTTGCTTTGGAGTCTTTAGCATTTATCTTCTGGTGGAGTGAATCATTCCTTGCTTCACACTGGTTTTGCATTCACTGTACCCATGCTGTCTGGCACAGCTGGGCACTAATCCCATGAGTTCCTTCAGTTAGCTCCCTAGGGAAGGTCTGAGGCTCAACCATGACATAATGCTGTGTCATGGGTAGAATGGGAGCTTCAAACAAAGTTTATTAGAGAAGCCTTCCCGCTGAGTCAGGAGGTGCAGCAAGGACCCCTTGCTTTCTGAACTCCTGTTCAGAGAGGAGTCTAGTTGGGGCTGGATCCAATCTTAGCCCCAGACTTGGTCAACATTTAATGTCTAAACAATCATACAGATGTAATTTAACTTTTGCACAACTTTATTTCGCAGAATTAAGGATGGCAAATCAGATATATTTAATAATAATGGCCAGTCTTCGCGAACAAAGATTTGGGGAAAGGTCTTTTACCTTTCCAGCCTGCGCAATGGATTTTTTAGGTGAGACACAGCCTGCACTGAACTGAGCCCACCCTTTAATCCTAAGGTTCATCTGCTGGGGCCAAGCAAGCTTGGACAATGGCAGTGAGGTCCTCAGGATGTAGGTTTGTTTAGAGTGACCTTCTCATAGATGGATGGCCTCACAGGGCTAATGGGCTCCATCTGCCCGGGGGACTGGGATTCAAACCTGGGTCGCGGCGGTGAGAGTCCCGCATGCTAACCACTAGGCCACCAGGGGTCCCCTCAGATATATTTATATTAAAAATATTTATTACGATAAGGATTAGACTAAAATATCATAATCAGAATTATTTACTACACAGTATAGAAGCTATAACTACTAGTACAGTACAGTGCACTATTTTGAAGCAATATTGAAGCAATTATATTAAAACTAGCAAAGACAATTATTAAGTAGAGATTGGTGTTATTCACCCATACCAACAACCGTGGGCAAATATTTGCTCAGACTCACTCAAGTGGGGAATCTTTACACACACACCAAAAATGGACATGTTAGAAGACCCTGCTATTAGAAAGTGAGACTGGGCTTGACTGTCAGTCAGTGATTGATTGACTGTCAGTCAGATGTCTCCAGGCCAGCTGCGTCAGCTCAGCAGCTTTAGGTAAGTTCTCAATAGTATCACTTGTTTGTTCCTTTATCAGGCACTTTATCAGCTCTGCCACATCTTCACCTCACCATCAGAATGTTTAACTTTGCAGTTGATGAATCAGACTCATCAACAGATTTCAGAATCCTTTGTCACAGATAGAGACACAGAGTATGACAAAGGTAAAGTGGGGTGTTTTTTGAAACAAACAAGTACATAACCCTATGCTTGAGGAAAATTTATTTTTTTCTTTTCCTCAATATCACAGAATTACAGAATAGTTTGTATTGGAAGGGCTCTTAAAGATTATCTAGTTCCAAACCCCTGTCATGGGCAAGGACACTTTCCACTAGACCATGTTGTTCAAAGCCCCATCCAACCTTGCCTTGAACGCTTCCATGTTGTGGGCTGCCATGTTGAAGAAGCTGTAACATTTTGGGCACAGGTTAATTCAGAAAACTATTTGATTTTAACCGAAATGTTTAATCTTATCTCCTCCCCCTCAGCAAGTTTCTGTATAAGTGAGCAATTTCAGAATTGCAAGTATTATTATTCCCTTTTAAAGGGAAGTTTTAAACAGTTATTATTTTCTGAAATGTCAAAAAGAATTTTTATCCAGTGAACGCATGATGAATGAGAATATGTTGGACAAATAAGTTTGTAGCTACACTTTCCTGAATACTTGGTAGATCAAAAAAAAAATTGATAGCTAAAATATTTGCTATTGACTGAGGAATACTGTTCGAGGCAGTTGGAGTCCTGCTGGGGGTGGATCTCCTACCCTAAAAGTGTCAATTTTTGTGTAGATGGGCAGGAGGATGTTGGATGGGGAGAGTGAGAAAAAGTAAAAAACCCCAAACAATTAATGGTTTTCTTTGATGTGGGGCGTGCAGCAGGGAGAGGGGAAAATCCAGAAGGAGTACCACATCTTGCCTTTCCTGTTTGGTCTGCAGGCTAATCAGTGTGTGCATATTGGTCAACATCCCTGTAGCTTTGAACCAGTTGGTGGAGGTAATGCTCCTTGCCATGTTCCCAATAGGAATTTGGGAAGGGGGATCAAATTTTACTCATTCTGTTTATGGAATAGCTTTTTATAATAAAGGGATTTTTATATGTAATAGTCATGCTGAAACTCAGTTGCAGTGTTTTATTTAATGTTGTAAGGTACAAAAGTTAGGAGTGTGCTTCTAAGGTTAACTAAATGTTTGGTTGCACAAGTGTTTTCTTTCCAGCTCTGAGCTCTGGATCCTTTCCTTGGAGTTATGAGTAGAATGGTGTCTACTGAAAGCCATGTTACTGGAATTGACCTAGTTTAACAGTGGTTCAGATACTAAGTTGTAAGTTGAAAAACTTCTTCTTCTCTCAGCCAAACCAACACACAAGTCTTGCATGTAAAGAGAATGAAAGGTATGGCAGAGCTGTTGTCTCCTTTTATTAAGTAGTGAAAGAAAACAGATACCACATCTATACTAACATTTGTGAGGATTGGTAAGTAAGATCTGCAGACAGCTAGCTGGTAATTAAACTGTTAAAATTGTTCATTGCAAACTATTTCTCTGAGATACATTACCTGCCCAGATCTGTTTCATTAATTCTTGGAAGAAATTGAGAGCAGGCTTGCAAGTACACCTAAAATCATGAAGACTGAAAGATTAGGGTGGGGCATTACTTGTCTCAACAGCTGTGCAACTATTTTGATTTAATTTTTGGCTGTTATAAGCCATCACATATCTATTAAAAATGACAGTTAATAACTTTTATGCTCTCTCCACACTTTGAATGTCAGTAGATGTAATGACCTCTTGAAAATATGTTGTGTGCTGACTGAAGCTTGTCCTCGTACTAATGCAGTTTTTGACAAACCTGATTTTAGTAAGGTAAGTAGTTTTTGTATATGTGGGTTTTTTTCACCTGGATATTAAAGCTTTAATTCTATGCAACCACTGTTTAAGTTATTTTCTTTATCTTGTCTAAGTTCTCTTTAAGAACTGTTGGCTCTCCTAAAGAAAACACTTACTTTGTGTGAGCAAGTCTTGCTGGACTTCACACTTCAGTAAAATTATGGAAACACTGTTCTTTTTTTTAACACTCATGAAATACTACAATAACGTAATAAACAGAATGCTGAATTGTGTTTCTTTGTCCAGTATACTTAATGGGTTTTTCTTTCACAAGAGAGCAATGCTTTTTTCAGAGAAGTGGTTCTTTGCTCCATCTCAGGAAGCGTGAAAGATCTTTTAAAAATCTGTAATGTTGAATGTGCTGGATAAAGTACTCTTGAGAAGATAACCAGGATATATTTAGTAGCAGTTCTATGACAAACATCCAAAGGGAGCTTTTGGCTCTGATGGAAATGACCTGAAAGAGTTGCTAATCAGCATTAGGAGACTGATACAGAGGGCTAATAGTTCCTATTTAAAATTATCATTTCTAGACAGGCTGTTTGGCATGGAAACATTAGATTACATATCTGGCCATAAAAAGTCTTCTATATTGCTTCTTAACTGTAGCCTTTAGAGAAAATAATTGCCAGCAGAGATCTGTTTTGTTACTTAAAGTTTTGTCACTAAGCTTTTAGACAAGTACCAGCGTAAGAGATTTCTCTCAGTTCCTTCCTCTGAAGTGTATCTGGGCTTAGTATAGAAGATTCTGATCTCTTCAGCGTGCTTATAGTCTAGTAGTTGTCAGTGCACATTTCTGTAGGAGGTTTAAATAACCTCTGCTGATTTATATTTTATCTTATTATGCAGTGTCAGGTGTTGTACGTTGACTGTGGAAAATCTTAAATTCCGAATAGACCAAACACAGTTAAAATTCCACCAAACTTGCAATGTTTGCAGTGTTGATGAGAAGTACAGGCTCTGGGCACTGCACAGACCAGCTGATGAGAACTTAAACACGTGTGACCAGGTGAGTAACAGATTTTATTTTATTTGGATTACTTGACCTGAAGCAGATGCTGCCAAATACCCGCACAGTGTTCTCAGGAGGAGTCCTCTGTTTAACTATGAAGGCAGGGCACGCTGGGAAAGACCGTCTGATCTGTTGCTGTGAACCGACTCTATAAATTAAATGGTTTTGTCAAAAATGGTTCAGATTGTGCTGGGGAAGTGATTTTTAGAGTGCGCTTTTGCCATCTTCAGAGCCTCAAGTCTATTTCTGTCTGACCCAAGTTCTTTCTGGCACTAAGGAAACAAAGTACCCCTGTTTCTTTCCCTTCAGAGGAAAAACATACCTCCCTTGGTCATGGAACCTGTGATAAATTCACTTATATCTATGAGCTGCTTGAATGCCTGGGTGCTATGCAAACTTTTGGTTAAGAGAAAGAATAGCAGGTGGGAGTAGGAACACTCTTGTTCCTGGCCAGCATTGAACATAAAAGTCTCAGGACGTGATGGCAACAGGACTAGTAAGTTTTACCAGTGGTGGTCTCATTTTCTGGGACACCTTTGACAGTCATAGCATGCCACTTCAAGGATTGTCACTGGCACTGCCTGTGCTTCACTAGCCAGTGGCTTTGGAGCAGATGTTGCGGGAGGAGGAGGAAGCAGGAAGCATCTGTCCAGCTTGCCTTGTCTATCATATAGAAGAGATCCCAAGAGCCCTTGTGCATGGTCCTATTGACATTACTAAATGTGATTTCTTAAGACAGATAAAAATCTCTGTTGTCAATTCCCTGAGGTTTTATGTTTTTCTTTTTTTTCCTTTTTTTTTTTTTTAATAATAGTCCTTGCTGCTCGAGCTAAAGCTTTATTTGCTTGCTCTGTGTAGCTTTCCTGACCCTACAACTTCCATTCTTAATTTTTAACAAAACCAGCTTGTTTTCAGAAGTGATAGGGAAATAAGAAGAAAACCCTGTCAATAAAAGGTAACTTTCTTGCAGTTGTCTTGCAAAGATCTTGAATACATTCCCCAGTCTTTCAAAACTGTTTGGTGAAACTGATGTCTGCCAATTCTGGCATTTCCCAGTTTCTGCATGAGTAGTTTGAGTAAAGTAGATTTCTAAAAGAATTGGATAACCCACTTGCCAACTTTTATTGAGAGTCGATGGGACTTTGGACTTCTGTCAGTTATGATACTGAATTCTTCAAGGCTGAACATTGAGGGAGAGCTACTGATGTTGAAGTCCAGTCTGATGTTGACAGTGATTAGGTCAGGCACAGTTGTAGTTATACAGGTAGTAGCATTGTTTCAGAATAAATGTGTTGAACATAAGATTTACCTGTGCAGCTATTTGGGTTTTGGTTTTAAAGATGCCATCTTTTTCTCAGAAGAGAGATGGCAGATTTCAGCTTAAAGTTTTCAGAGTCTCCAACTTCATCATATCTTTATTTTAGAGGGGAAGAAGTTTTTGAGCAGCCTAGCTTTTGAAAAAGAAGTAAAAATACATCACAAAGCCAAGCATAAAGATGGTACCATTTTTGCCCAGGCAGAATACAAAAAAATAGATATTGGAGAAGAGGTGGTAAAGGCAGGGTTTACTAAAAAATACACATCTCCAGGAAACACTAAGGATGAGGAAAAGTAGCTGTCACACAAAACTAACATTGGAAGGTAGAAGTTTCAGTTCTACGGTGGGTAAACAGATCTGATTAAGTGCTGTACAGCACCCCAAGAGGATGCTCTTACCGAGTAGCTACCAGCTCAGGGAATCAGAATTTTACTGGAAACCATACATTTGGCCCAAAGCAAGCCAGTGGAATGTCACAGGGCACCTAGTGTGAGTGATCTGATTAGCCCAGTTGCCGGGATGGTGGTATATCAGAAGATGGAAGTGGGTGCCTAAAATACAAATTTAAATCCTTCTCTTTCCAGCATCAGGTAGTACTGGTACTCAATGGAAAGGAAATACATGAGTATGTGTGCGTGCTGTGGTGGTTGGAATTAGGACATTAATCCATAGAAAACTATGCTTTAGTAGTCTTGCTGCTTGGAGAGCTTGCTCTTCCTTGTTCGATTTTGAAAGACAGTTCTTATATATCTTAATGCAAGATTTTGAAAAGAAGGAAGGGGTAGCAGCTTGTAAGCAGAGAAGATACTAGAAAGCTTAGCTGAAAGTAAAGGTTGCAGGATATTGGGCCTCTAAGTAGATTTTGCAGTGATAGCCAATGCAGTGCTGCTTGTTTTAGCATCTGTGTAATTTCCATAGGCTTGTCCTTGAGCTTTTTTGTAGCTATCCCCTCCTTATTTATTTCTATTTAGAACTCACTGGACAAAAATATGGATTGTAAAAGTACTCTTACCTAGCAGGACAGACATATTATGGTGATTTATTTGTGTGGGAATGTAAGAATGTGTGCTTATAAGAAATAAAGCCAGCAATCACAGTTTGAAGTAAGCTTTAGGGGATAACGGTTTGTCTGCAACTTGTAATTACATTGACAAGAGGTGGTGGTAAGTTGGCAGATACAGTTGTTGTCAGAAATCTTTTTAAAGAGACTTGTCCTGCAGTTGCTAGGATTGCCATGACAACGGGCTGCTGAGGAAAATGTTTGTGGGTGGGAAAAATGTTACTTGGCATTCAGAAAGTTGAGATGGTGTAAGAAATATAAGGTTCTACCAAAAAACTTATTTAGAATTTGCCAGTGTTCCATAATTTGAGCTTCTTGAACATTTTAAAGAATCATCTGAGGGCATGCCCTCCCACATATCAGCACAGTATCAAAGTCTGTTTTACAGTTAGATCATTTAGGCAGGTCTATGCTGTTAACATATATAGTAATATGAAATGAGGTGTTCTTCAACATATTCCAACTTTACAGTGAAGTGCCTCATCCTGAATTATATCAATACCTTGATCTGCCCTGTTTTTTGAGCTACAAGTATGCTGTGGATCTGATTTTAAATAAGGAAGAGGGCTTTTTTTCTTTTTGGCACACAGTGTTGAGGCACTTTTGTGTATAAAGTTGTCCTGACCGGCCTGAGCAGGAGGCAGTCAGGAGATTCGCTGTTCCATTTCTGTATGTTTTGCACATCACAGGCATTTTTGGGGTGGTATGCCTGAGAAGGAAACAAGCTGGGATGTAACCAAAGCCGTGCAGGTGAGGATGGAGTTGATGTGGGATCTAGTGGAGCTTTGGTAGTGTACGGTATTGTCACAGTACTCGGAAACAGATGGCTTTACATCACTTGTCTTTGTTACAAAAACAATTTTTAGGGTATAGATCCCAACATTAACTCTGAAGTGCTTTGGCTTATTTAGTAGATAGGAGATTTGAGTTACAATGGACTTTGACTTTTGTGGGTTTGTAGTGTAAGTGTGCATTGTAAGATGTAAGTGTATTATAGTATGGTTTTTGGATGGAAAAGACTTTTCAGTTAGTGATGGGGAAAACATACAAAGGGTTGTCTGCAAATTATGTGATTTTTTTTTTTTTAATTAATTCATCTTAATTAATTTTTAAAAGGAAAATATTCTAGCTTCTACCTGACTGCCAGACACCAGCTTGGGACAAATAAGATCAGATCAGAAGCTGTCTGAAGAGAAACAAGTTCTCGGAAGGAAGAATATAAATCTCTTGCAGAAGCAGAAGAAATTAGAACTGAACGTTCAAGAGCTGAAATGTGAACTTCAGGTATACGGCAATGCAAAGTGGATACTTCTCACTGCGAGTGTTTCTGACAATGCTTCTGTCTTATGGTTTCATCATACTGCAGTTCAGCTGTGAACTGTTCTTTGGAATAGAGAAGGATTAAACTGGTTGAGTGAAGACTTGTCTTGGCCTGGTGCAGGGAGATGCTGTCAATATGTGTTAGCACAGGTTTTTCAGTCCAGGTTGGACCTGAGCTCCCCTTGGTGTATGTGCTGGCTTGCCACCATACTTGATGCAACTTCTGGTTTGTATGAAGGTGTTCAGGTTAACCACTTGGTGATTAAAAACTTGCTTTGTGTGTAAGGGTGTGATCTTTGCCTTTCTTTTTTTTTGTTTTTTCCTCATTTAGAGGGAAAAACAGTTTTCTGTGTGTGGGGCTGAAAATTTGTAAGCATCACAGAATCATAGCAGCTGTGGAATTTTAGAACTGCATAAAAATCAGTCTTTCCTTAACTGCTGCTTAATAGAAAGGATGCTTATGTTTCTTTCCAGGGGAGATTCCTAGCATTATAAGCAAAGCACAGTACTTAGTAATAGTTACTGGTAGGCTTAAAAAGGCTGTGAATGGTTTTAAGTGTGATAAACAGCAGAAGTATAAAGAGATTGTGTGAAAAGATGTTATGTATGCATGAATTCGAAAAATGTTGTGCAAACTCTTATCCCTACAGATATGAATGGAAAATCTTCCATTTTGTAAATCCTTTTGACATCCCCAAACCCCAGATTTGCACACAGCTATTTCTTTTCCTTGCGGACTAAAACTAGTCATAACTAGCTTTTCTACTTGGTTAACTTCTCCTAGAACATCTATTTTCTACATAAACTAACTTGTCATTGCACAGATTCTGCATCCACTGAAGATATGATATTTGTTTCTATGCAAACTAAATTAATAAGCAACAGAATACATGATTGCAGCTAAGAAAAACCATTTAAATGCAAGAAAATCTTAGAAGCATTTCTTACATATAGTCTGATGATTTTTAAAAAACACCCTGTTTTCTACAAATTTTAATTTCTGTTTTGTGTTGATTGCAAGTAAACTATTTGAAAAGAAAAGGTTATGGATATTCTTTTAAGTAAGAAAATATTTCCTCCCTGCTAAAAACACTATGGTAGGCAAGGATTTATTTGAGAAGGGTATTGTGTGGTGGTGGCTTTGAGGGGTACTTCAAAAAACACCCTGCTGTCATAAGACTTTGGATGCATATCTGCCAATACAAACCTATTTATATCTCTATATGTTTTTGTTTTGTTCATTTGTTGGCATGTCTGTGTTTGTTTGTTTTTTTAATATCATGTAAATGAGTCTGAAAGGCTAAAAACATTTACAGTCTGTTTCATTACCCAAAGTGCAGTTTATAAAAACATCTCTGTGGAATTAGAGCAGGAGTTTTCATATTTAGGTTGCCCCTGGAGGAATATAGCCTCGTGTGGTGCTTGGGCTTTTTTTTGGGTCAAGAGTATTCCTTACTTTTTCTTAAGGATACTCCTTGTAGGAAGGTCAGGCCAGTTGCAGGTAAAATGAGAGGTTTGCTGCACTATTTAGAGGTGTGGCTGTGATGGGAGTGAGGAGTTTAATGGGACCCTGGACTTGATTTCCCTGAATTAACGGGTAGGAATTTTTCAACAGGGGAAGAAAAAAATTCCATGTTGTCTGAAGACTTGCTAGTAAATGTGGAGTAATTGAACAAATCCACTACTGAAATGAGAGGAATAAAATTAACTATTAAGCCCTACAAAGCTAATAATAAAATTATTCTCATTGGTTTGTATGTCTTTCTAGGCATTTTGTTATTAGTGTTTTGAGGAGGGCCAGCTCTGTGTGTGTTTATCTCTAGTTTTCAAAAGTCTAAATTGTGGTCTTCATGTTAGTCAGCCTTGGCTGACTGTTGTGACTTTTGATCTGTCTTTCCCTGACATTGTTGAAACACTGCTCCAAAAATAATAAATAATTCATAGAGAAGGAATCATCTAAGAAAACTGAAAGCTTTGAACAACGCACTTACATTGGAATGAAAACAAGAAGTTTAGCTGTTGGGGTGAAGGCACTGAAAAAAGTTAGGTATGTATTTTTTTTCTAAAATAATATTATTAATCATTGCCTTGCTTATCTCTTGAAGCCATGCATGCTTTTTTGTTTCCCAAAAGTTTTGTTTTCTTAATTTTCTAAGAAAAATGCAGTGTTCTATGAAGAGGGGAGTATTTCCCAAAGCCATGGCTGAAACTTGCATGTTTTAGGAGCCAACACTGCAATTTGCATGATCTTTTTCTCAGTGTTTATCAGATAACTTTGCTTCACTTCTGTCCTTTTACCATCACTGTAGCAAGAAGAGTTTTCGATTCCATCTTCAAGGAAGACGCTAATTAGTAAATTGTTAGAAGTAACTGGGTAGTCAGAGTTCCTTGCATATCTCTGTTGCTGGGAGAGGTGTATATCTTTGGGTAACCCAAATTACCCTTCTACTTTTAAAGAGACAAAAGTGCAGTGGGAAGAAGACTTGAAATAGAAGTGACCATCATCCCCTTAAGAAGGAATGTGTAAATTGGTACATGTGTTTGTGGAAGACAAGTTAAAAAAAATACCAAGGGAGGAAATAGAACAAAAGGAAAATTAGGAGCAGGAGGGAATTTCCATGTACAGTCTTGTCAATACTGAGGTATCATGAATGTATTCTTGATCCTTCCTCACTTAAAAAAAAAAAAAAATTAACAGCTGAATGAGACAAATTGCTGCTGTTACTTTTTGAAAGAAATGAAGTTATTAACATGGCAGGTGCTATCTCAAAATCAAGAGTTCTGAATAGTGTTAATTTTTAAACTGCCTGAGTTGTGAAAAAAAAATTCTTGTACAATGTTGTTTCTTCCTTATAACTTAGGCACATAAAAAAGAATAGTCATTTTGGGGAGCAGCTCTCACAAGCCGTAAAAGTGGTTACAGATGTTTCTCTCACTGTTCTGTGTTCCTTGGAAAAGCTGCAGAGGATTTGGACAGAATATGACTTGGCTTAAAAGAGGATTCAATTATGCAGAAATGTGGTAGGTTGAAATTATTTTTTTTCTCAGAAGCTATAATTTGACAGCTATTGACAGAGTATTTTAGTCTTGTAAGTGTAGCTGGACAGCATGAGCACAGCACGGAAACATTTCTGCTTTGCTAGACAACATTGAAGGCTTTGCTACCTTTGCCACAACTGATGTATTTGTGGCAGGTTGTTTGGGGTTTTTTTTGTATATATGTGTTAAACCTACACTTTTTGACACCCTTGATTTTACAAAGAAATATAAGGAAATCAGAACATGGTAACTTAAAGGGTTCTGTGCTGTAATAGAAAGCACATCGGCTCTGCAACTGCGTTGCCTGTCTTCAAAACCTCTTGTAGCAGCATGCAACTACTTAGTGTAGTGTGTGCTTCCCTCCTATGGAGAGCACAGGGGGGAGCGGTGTGGAAATGCGGTGCTATAGGAAGATGGACTTGTACAGGGGAAAGCTGCCATCTAGTGCAACTTCTCTGGAGCCACAGATCTGAAGGAGCCTGCGTGGGTGTGCAGGCTTGGCTGTGTTGCTGAGGATGGGTATGTGCTGCTTTTGGGAACGGGAAGTGTCCTCGGTCTGTGGCAGGATTTGTGGTAAGGCAGGGAAGGGATGGTAGTTGTGCACCTAGGAGAATGTGTTGTGGCTATTTTCAGGTAAAACTTAAACCATTTTAAACATGTTTGCTTAAGAAGCTTTGTTGTGTTAAAATGAATTTAACAGCTTGTGAAGTGGAATAGAAAACATTGAGCCATGAGGAGAACCCAAGTAAGTTCTGTTTTTGTTGCTTGTGCATGGAAAACATCTAGAGCATGGCATACATTTGATTCCTGTTGGTGAAAAGAAATTCCTTTGTTTACTAAAACCCAGGTCAAATGTTTAAACTTGACCACATTGAGATAAGCATTAATAAACAGATGATATTTTAATGTTGCTTCCTGTATAGGGGAGTAGTGTGCAGAAGAATAGCTAGGTTGTGAGTTACCCAGGAGGCAGGGCTGCTAAGGGATTCACTTGCACAAGTTTTCCTTGTACAAATTTCTTGTGTAATGATTCCATGTGAGATAGTAGCAATTGTAGTTTTCTGGAGATTACATGGGACTGTAGGAATAGATACATTTCCGGAAGAATTTGTAATGGGAAGTTAGAACTCGTTTCACTAGGACGGCTTTCTGCCTGAGGTGGTGCCTCTTTCTCAAAGGCAGTTTGTATGCTCCCCCTCCTCTCCCCGCATAACAAGAGAAGTTCTCAGCCTTGCTCTTTGGTATGCAGAGAGATAACACGTTTGTAGACACGTACAAGGCCTCCTTGGGCCAGAGAGAGAGTGGGGGAGAAGAGGGAGAAGATAGAAAAAGCCCGAAGGAGGAGGGGCTTTGCCTTTTGCACCTGGGGCCTGATGCGTGCACGATCTTAAAAAAGTGATCCTTGCATCTGAAATAAACCTTTTTGTTTAATCCTTTCACTGTCTTGGCATTCTTGGGAAGAATACCTACATATGTTTACCTTACAGGATGATTGAGCTCAGTGGGGTCCATAAGTCCGATTGAATAACAGCCCATAAGTAAAGCAAAACCATGTTAGAAATCGCTTTCACCCCACTGGACAGTTTTGCTTTGACTCAGTTGAGCTGGAGATTGAGGAAAAGAAAACTGTTAATGTGGACCAAAGTTAGGACGGATGCAGATTCTGTGGTGTGACTAAATAGTCTCAAAGGTATTTATTCAATAGAGGCGATGGTTTCCTTGGTGCCATTCTGGTGACACTGTGTGTGAGGTATTTTGGGCTTGTGGTTTTGTTTTGGTTTTGCGTTGCCAACCCCAGCAAGCAGCATTCTTCCTTGACAAACATAACGAAGAAGTGTTTCATTCTTGAAGACTATTTGAGTGATGGACTAATTTCTTGGAATATGTTAGACGATCTGGACATTGTCTCCCATTTCAATTGTGGATGGCTAACAATGAAGTCATGTCTGCATGATGAGTTGTAGTGTGTTACACTGCCAAAATACTCAAAATACTGCTGAAAGGAGCTTACAGCACTTTGCTGCTTCTGGTAGCTCCACAAGTGTTGGTGTAACCCTCTTGTGTGATCAATGTGGCCTCATGTGTGGCTTAAAATCTGTTTTTGTTCAGAAACCAACCCCCTCCACAGTCCTCCAGGCTCCCCCACCCATTCTGACATTATTCCTGGTTGCCTAAGATAAGGTGGAAAGGAATGGTGGCATGAAATCGTAACTTTCCAAGAACATGCTGTTGTAAAAAAAATTCCTGCTATCTGAAGTAGGGAAGTTGTCATAGCAGTGTCACAAATATTTTAAATCAGGAAAATTAAAGAAGACAGGAGTTCTGCAGGATGTCAGGTATCCCCCAGAGTGCCCAAGTGCTGCAAGGGGTATGCAAGTGGGAACGTGTTTGGAAGTGTAGAGCTCCCTGAAGAATAAATGTAGTTTTCAAGATAATTAGGTAGCAGCTGGAAGCAGGACATCTTAAGGGTCTTGTGGAGTTTGTTTTAAGTATTTTGAAGTCTTTGGCAAGTGAAGGATACAGAACAAGAGTTTTATTGGCATCATGCTAGTCTTGCAGTGCCACACAGATTACAGAATCACAGAATATGCTGAGTTGGAAGGCACCCACAAGGATCATCGAGTCCAACCCTCAGCCCTGCACAGGACCATCCCCAAGAGTCACACCATGTGCCTGACAGTATCGGCCAAATGCTTCTTGAACTCTGTCACACTTGGTGCTGTGACCACTTCCCTGGGGAGCCTGCTCCAGCACCAACCACCCTCTGGATGAAGAACCTTTTTCTAATATCCAACCTAAACCCCCACTGACACAACTTCAGGCCATTCCCTCAAGTCCTGTCACTGCTCACCACAGAGAAGAGATCAGTGCCTGCCCCTCCTCTTCCCCTCACAAAGAAGTTGTAGACTGCAATGGAGTCTCCCCTGAGTGTCCTCTGTTCCAGGCTGAACAGACCAAGTGCCCTTAGCTGCTCCTCATACGGCTCCCCCTCAAGGCCCTTCATCATCTTCATCGCCCTCCTTTGGACACTCTCTAAGAGCTGGATATCTTTCTTATATTGCAATGAAAAAACCCGACACAATATTCAAGGTGAAGCCACCCCAGTGCAGAGCAGAGTGGGGCAATCCCTTTCCTCGACCGGCTGGCGATGCTTTGCCTGATCCCCCCAGGACACGGTTGGTCCTCCTGGCTGCCAGGGCACTGCTGACTCATATTCAACTTGCTATTGACCAGGACTCTCAGGTCCCTTTCCATAGCACTGCTTTCCAGCATCTAATTTCCCAGCCTGTCTGTACATCTGGGGTTGACCCATCCCAGGTGCAGAATCCGGCACTTTCCCTTGATGAACTTCATCTGGTTGGTGATTGCCCAGTCCTCTAATTTGTCGAGGTCTCTCTGCAGGGCCTCGCTGCCTTTGAGGGAGTCAACAGCTCCCCCCAGTTTTGTGCCATCTGCAAACTTGCTCAGTATCCCTTCCAGTCCTGCTTCCAAGTCATTTATGAAAATGTTAAAGAGCACAGGGCCCAAGATGGAGCCCTGTGGAACCCCCCTAGTGACAGACTGCTGGTCCTGTTGCCAGACCCCATTCACTATTACCCTCTGTGCTCGACCTGTGAGCCAGTTGCTCATCCACCACATGATGTGTTTATCCAGCTGTATGCTGGACAGTTTGTCCAGAAGGATCCTGTGAGAAGCTGTATCAAAAGCTTTACTGAAATCCAAAAAGATGACATCAACTGGCTTCCCCTGATCAACTAGGTGGGTTACCTTGTCATAAAAGGAAATCAGACTTGATAAGCAGGACTTTTCTCTCATGAAGCTGTGCTGGCTGTGACCGATGACTCTGTTGTCTTTCAGGTGTTTTTCAATACCTCCCAGAATAATCTTCTCCATAGCTTGAATTGAGACTGACAGGCCTGTAGTTTCTGCCATCCTCCTTCTTGTCCTTCTTGAAAATTGGGACGTTTGCCAACTTCTTGTCATCTGGGACCTCTCCAGATTCCCAAGACCACTCAAAAATCATTGAGAGAGGTTTTGCAATGACATCAGTTAGCTCTTTGAGGATTCTTGGATGAATCCCATCGAGCCTCATAGACTTGTAGGGATCCAGCTGGAGCAGCAGATCCCACAAAATCTCAGGTTCGACTGGGAATTGATAATTCTCACAGTCATGGTCCTCCAGCTCACGGCACTGAGACCCCCTTGGTCCATCATCTGAGTTGAAGACAGGCAAAGAATGTGTTAAACACCTCTGCCTTTGTCTGTCCTTGTTTGCGAGGTGACCATCCTCATCCTGTAATGGGCTGATGATATTTCTATGCTACCTATTGCCATTCATGGCTAGGCTTCACGAACAAAGATTTGGGAAGGGCTCTACCCACGTTTGCTACAAGCGTGCTGGTGGCTAAAGAGGCCAATGCGAGATAGACAAGTCTGGTTGCAAAAGGCACAGTGGAAAGACGCCTTGGATGGTATCGGCAAGACACGATTCTTTCTGCATTGTCTTTTCTCAATAGAGGAAAGACAAAAGACAACTATTGCCATTAATGTATTTGAAAAAACTTTTTATTGTCCCCCACATTTCTGGCAGCTTCAACTCCAGCTGAGCGTTGGCCACACAAATTTTCTCCCTACAGTGGCAAGCAGCATCTCTGAACTCTTCCCATGTCACTTGACCTTGCTTCCACTGGGCATACACCTTTCTTTTTGCCTTATTTCCAAGAGAAGACCCCTGTTCATCCAAGCGCACCTTCTGTCTTGCCTGCTTGATTTCTGACATTTGGGAATTGCCTGCCCTTAGGAGTTCATGTTTGAAAAGTGACCAGCACTCATGGGCACTGGCACCTGCAAAAACATTTGCCCAGGGGACCTTACTTAGTAATTCCCTGAGCAGCCTGAAGTCTGCTCTCCTCATGTCCAGAGTTGAGGTTTTGCTGGCACTTTTCCTCCTGTCAACAGGGATTTTAAAGTTGATGGCTTTGTGGTTACTGTGGCCAAGATGGGCACCAATCTCCACTTCTTTCATGAGATCCACTCTCTTGACAAGCAGCAGATCAAGGAAAGCATCTTTCCAAGCTGGCTGCCTTATGACCTGTTCCATAAAGTTGTCATCCAGGTTTTTAGGAATCTTCTGGCCTGGGTTGTACCAGCTGTGTGATGCTCTCAGTTAATTTCTGGCAAATTCAAGTCCCCCACAAGGACAAGGGCACTTGACCTGGAAGTTTTCCTTAGTTCCTCAAAGAATATGTTCTTCCTCATCAACGCCATCATCCTGGCTGGGAGGTCTATAGCAGACTTCCATGATGACATCCATGTTATTTGTTTGCCCCTTGATTCTTACCTGGAGGCTCTCAACTGTGCCAGTGCCAACTGTGAGCTCCACACATTCTAAGCTTTCTATTACACACAGTGCCACCCCTCCGCCTCTCCTGCCCTCCCTGTCCCTACAGTGCGCAGTGTAGTGACTTAACTTTTTATTTTGCTGAGAGTAGTTTTGATTTTTTAGAATCTCTTTTCTGTGCTGTACCATGCCACAGAGTTTTGGCTACTGTATTTTCAAATACAAGAAATGTCCAAGATGCACACAGTACATGGTGTGCTTGTTAGTCTGCCTATCATACCTGCTTAAATTATACTGACTATAGGTTGGCTAGCAGACATTTTTGATAGTGCAACCAAGTGTGATGATGTCACTGACTTCGTTTCCTGCTCAGTTAAAATGAAGTACATGTAAATCCAGTGTACAGGAAGTCCAGTGAACCCAAACAGGAAGTCCAGTGAACCTGAACAGATGGATGAAATAGTTGGCTATTAAACTAAAGCAGAGTGTTTAATTCTGCTCAATCTGTCAACCTAGCTGTCAAAATTGGCTTTACTAAGTTATATCTTGTTGTTCAGTTGCCTAAGCATTGTGCTCTTCCCTTAACCTCCCTGAAGCGCTGGTGCCCTTTCTCACTGTCACAAGGCTCATTTATTTTTAAGCTCTTGGAAGTGAACATCTTTGCTTGGGGAAACATAATGCATCTCAAACAACTATCCCAGGTGTGAGTACACCCAATAAAGTTTGAGTGCAGAGTAAGTGGCATTATTTCAGTTTTCATTGTCTGTGTTTTCTTAGTTGGTTTATGGTGGTTTAACTGTGTCTCTCCTAGATATTGTCCCAAAAATGAAGATGGAAGACTGGAACTTTTTTTTTAATAAAGTATTTATGGAAATGCTTAAAATACATTCAAAACTAATAATAGAATTTTATGTAAATTCTGTGTCCAAGAGGAATGTAGTGGTGATGATCATTTTACCAGCTCTCCTACAGAAGTATTACTGAAAGAATGGCAGCTTTACAGATGAAAAAACAGGGGTAATTAGAAGTTCCCCTGACTGCAGTGTAAGTAGGTACTCATAGTGATAAGGTGTAATATTCATGCTGACTTCTCAGAAACTGTAGTTAGTGTTATATGGATGTGTCCCTTAATTTGTGATTTCAGTTTTGAAACTTATTGGAGACTGTAGTGTACATATTCAGCTTTTTTTTTTTCTTGGTGACAAAGAAGAAAAAATAGTCATGCTAATGTTTAGAAAAGGGGAACTATTCAGTTGCTCATTAAAAAAAAAAAGTGGGGGTTGCTGGGATAATTTGAACAATTTAAGGATGGATGTTGATGCCAGACCTTTCTTTAGCTATTCCATATACTGCAAAGTAGTAACTTGCACTAAAGGGAGCCAAAAACTGCTGTTGTGGACTTTCATTAGAATCGCTATACTTATCAGAAACAAGATGGTGAGCCAGATTGGAAGTTGATATTACTAAGTCTGGTGGTTGGTTGTGTGGTGGTGTTTGTGCAGTTGTGTTGTGAGTTTTGTTGTTGTTGTTTAATGAACTAAATTTTGTAATTTGAGAAGCCTTTAGTCTGTTTTAAAGGAATTTAATTGTAATGTTTACTCCTGTGAAGAGCTTGCATCTTTGTAAAGCAGACTATTAAAATACTACTTTACTGCTTGTGTACTTAATGCTCTGTGAAGTTATCTAATGGGCATTATCTGGGCCATGTACACAGGTTGGAAGGAGATTTGTCCCGTGGCTCCTGAGCCATCTGTTGAGCTCCTTGATAGTCGTTTAGTCATGTGTAGACTGTTAAATTTTCTCTAGTGCTTTAACTGGTATTAGCTGGAGTTTGGTTGCCTGGTTGAATCTTCTGCTACATTAAGTGTCTATTGCTCTAGTTTTTGAAGTAACATTCTGTAGAAGTCTTGGAAAGTGTTCTTTATGATGAGGGGTCCTTATTATTTTTTATGCAGCATGTTACAGAATTGGTTTACAAACTAGCTCTTGCCTTATGCACAAAAAACAGCAGGAAGTCTCCAATGATGGCCAAAAGTGCAGGAGGGCCTATTAAATCTTTTCTGTTGTTGTTTCATGTTTTTAAGTGCTAAAGCAATACATTCTGTTCACCTTCTGTAGTTCAACTTAATCTACTGATTTTTATTATCCAGGCTATTAATGTGTGGCTGAATTACAGCAATTGTTCAATTGCTACTCTGTTTATAAAGCAGTGTGTGCTACAACTTGGGGTTTTATTTTCAGTTGGAGCTTGTCCATCTTTCAATTTCCAACCACTGGATCTCATTCTGTCTTTGTCTGTTACTAGTAAAAGATTTCTAGTCTATGGTGGATACTTAAAAATTGCTGATTAAGTCCATTTCTAAGATTTCACTAAATAAACTAAACTGAAGACCACATTTGAACCTGTGTTTGTGTATACATACTGATATTACAGATACATTTATATTATATATTTCTTGTTAGTAGGAGGTGTTCATTTGACTGTTCTTTGGCTCCATGGTATTAGTGCTATGGTTAACTCTTCTGTTGTTTTCTGTTTCCTCACTAATAATTGCCCTCCGCACCAGACTTTCCAAGGTTTTGAAGTGGCATATGTGTGCGTGATAGGGAAGGGAACACATATCAGGACACCATGTTATAGCTACTTCAATCACTTTATTTTTTTTTTTTTATTTTTGGAGATGGATGTAGAAGGAAGTAGCAAATCTTTACAGCAGGTCCATAAAGCTGCAGCTGGATCTTTCATGTTCATATGTGTTTTCATATATCTGTGGGCATGTTGAGTTAAATCACTCTGAAAAGAACATTGCAAGCATGCTTCCAAGTATGGATTTTTAACTTCTTTCATCCATTTCAAAAGGTTTGGTTTTGGTAAGTCTGATAGGTATGTTGTCTGTTATGAATATGGGGTTCTTCTCCTATTAGCAGAACTAATCCTGCCAGTCATTCAGGGGAAGCTTTGTTTTGTTTTGTTGCTAGAAAATTATGTTTAATTTAATAATTTTTCTGCAGATAATCAGTAGGGAGTTCACAGTTCACCTGCTTTTCCTACTAGAAGACAAAGATTTTTTTATTCTAGAGTATTCTTTTCTAGTAAGAAAACTTTTGCAGTCTGATTTTGTGGATGTAATTTTGGATGTATGAAAGTGTGGATAATCCAAATTCTAATTTCTGTAATACAATCAAAAACTACAGGACAACCAGGACATTTTAAATCTTCAGTGGCAGTTAAGATTCCCACTGTTATCAACAGTCATGCAGAAACTGTTTCTTTAGTTTTCTGATCATGTAGTCATATCTTTACACTGTGAAGGGTGCTGTATTTGTGCAAGGTGGTCATGCCATAGGAGCGGAGGTTAAAAAAATTAACTTTTTCACTCATTCCTAGTCAGGCATGTATTGTGTTACTCATACTTCGCAAGGATTACTGCTTTTTTTGTATCACTTTCTACATTCTTTGGGTGAGAGTTGCTGACTTGCTTTTCTTTCTGCATAGGATGAAAGAGATGAATTGATTATCAGGCAAGATGAGGCGCAGCAGAACTTGTATTCAGTAGTTAAAGAAATAATTTTGGAAGTGGATCAAGTGCCCTCTCTGGGCCCTCAAGAGTGTTACAGGTAAGGAGATTGCTTTGATCAGTATAGATTCTGAAACTCTGAGAATCTGTGGAGGGTGTTTCTTCAATGTTAAGCATTTTATAGTTGGAGACTGACAGCAGCAGATGAAGTTTTAGGTAACACTTCCAAGGTAAGTTGTACATCTGACTCCTGTAATACTTAATTTACTTGTGATCTTGGTCTCCTAGATGTTTTGTTTCTAGAGGCAAATTATTATCTAGATCCTGGATTTAGGGAACAGCTTTTCCTTTATGGTACTGTGTTGGGTGATTAACAAGACTTCACTAAGCACAGAATATTTACTAGAAGATGGCTGTTAATGAGAGAACCTACAATTAAAAAGTCAATGCAGTTATCCTGTAAATTGTGGTAGTGTGTTGTGTGATTTGATTATATGCTTTCCTACCAAGAGTCTCTTTCCCTCTCAGACAACCCAAAACCAGAAAGTAAGGATGTAGATAGGGAAATAGGCTCTGTAGAGGCAGTGAGGACTTTTGAAGAGGACTTTGCCAATAGAAGTGTTACTGGACTTTGCTATTAGAAACAATTTATTTTCTTCTTTTTAACATCAGAAATATTACTTGCCTTGATTTTGACTGTGCAAATGTGTATGGAGAGACAAAAAAGGATGTTGGTATTTGGGCAGCTTGTCTGTACAAATTCCAGAGATTTATTCATCCACACATATATGAGATTGAATTCTTGTGAATAATCACCAAGATTGCAGTCTGCATATAAGTTTGTATAAGACTGGAGCAGCATTAATAAAGTGAAGCATTCAAATCTTCATGGAATTATTCAATTTCCAATGGAATTATTTTTCAATGCCATTAATAAAATGTTTCATACTCTTTTTTTTTTTTTATAGTCTGATATACAGATTGTTATCTAATTGGAAAAAGATACTGCATAGGTAGCATTTCATGGTTTTTTATCACTGGGGACATTGTGAGAGTCCTGCTCCTTCAGATAGAGGAAAGTTGTTGTGTGTTGTTTGTATATTTTTTTCTGCTTTGTGTTAGTTTTGGGATATTTGTGTGGTGTTTAAAGACTATACTGTGTGAATCCACTAGGTGGTAGGCATCAAGCATCTTCTACGTAATTGTACAGAAGTGAAATTTTAAGAGTGTTTTGAAAATGTTTGAAGGGGTACCGAAATGCTGCTAAGTGTGTTAATTAAACGTTGAGCTTTAGCTTAACTGTGTCCATGGTCCTCTCTTGTGTTTGGAGCTGGAAGGCCAAAATAGCTTTCCCATATAGGGAAAGTGAAATAAATGTTTACCAAATACTAGTGAGAACCTTGTTTGCAATTTTATAGAGCTGAAGTGGTCATGCTGTGCTGTCCTAGAGAAACAAGTATTTTTCCATATCTCTCAGAGGAGAAATTTGGGAGCTAATGCGCCTCTCACTGAGCCTGTGTATTGCAAACTCTCTTCTTCATCAGACATCTCTTCTGACTTGTGTTTTATACCTTCTGGTGAGAGTTGTTGTTGGCCAGCTCAAACAGCTTCAGCCACGGTTGGGTTCACCTGGCTAGGACCGAAATAACCAGTTGATAAGCTCCATGCTTTCCAAGTGACAATACTGCATTGCTTGAGAGGAAAGCTGAGAGTGGAAGTATACACATAAATTACCCTAAAGCAAACTAGGGTGTGAGCTGAACAATTGTTATCTATCAGTAAGCAAGTCTCCTTTGCCTCATGGATAGTGTGTAGTAGCTTGTTCTGCTCCCTTTGAATTACCAGGCTTAGAGATAGTGGCTGGGACAAGTGCACATAGGCCACTGAGCCATCTTCATATGGTAGTTTGTTATCCTTCTGGAAACTGCTTCTGTATCCCTATGCTGATGAAGTTGCTAGTGTTTTAGAGAAATGCGTTTATAGTATGAAAAATAAATGGGATGAAATAGGACCTAACTTACAGGATTCTTTCCTTGAAGACAGCCTGATGGAATATGTGCAGATACTGTCCTGGTGTGACTAGTGCTATTATTTTTGTAAACAGACTGTGATATTGGATATGAAACTGTTACTGAGCAGTTTTCTCTGCTCTATTACCTACTTTTGTTTGCTGTTAAATTGGTTGATTTTTTTCCTCCCTCCTTCAGACTGTTCCATTTGAACCTGGCTTTTACCTTGCTGTGCCATTTTTCTGTCTATGTGTATCCTGGTGTACTGAATCCCGTCTACTCAGAAAAATGGGAGAGAATTCTGTTGTGCACTTGAATGATTTCAATAGCTTCCATAAATTTAGCACAAACCTTTTCCTGGTGTTTGCTTGTAGACAAGCAGATTTGTACAAAGCTCATGTCACTTGGCTCAGTAGGAAATTGCTGTTGAAACAGTCTATTATACTGAATGAATGTTGTTCATTGTAGTAGCTATTGTTGTGAAAGTTGTTTTGTAATTTTTATAAAATACTGTTCAGTGGAGGATTGGGTTTTTTTTGTTTTGGTTTGGTTCTTTTTCTGGTCACTGTATTTAGTTAATTATAATGTGAGGAAATTCTTATTCTTTTGGCCCCAATCTGAACTTTTGCTGTGGTGTGTCTGTAGTGCTGGGTCTGGTTGCAGGATCATCGTGTGTAGTCCTACAAGTCAATTCCTGACCTTCACAGTACCTGCAGCCCTCAGCAAGGGGAGTCCATTGCTGCCCCTTTCCAGCTTCTGGTGGTAGTGTCAGTCATTTTACTTGGTGTTCTGTTTGGTTGCTCAAGGGTCTAAAAGGTTCCTGACAAGTGACTTTACATTCAGAAGCATTCCTCGGCTGCTCACCTTATTTCTTAGTACAAATTCACTTTGTTTTCTGAAGTTGAGCAGCTCTATAAGGAACATTATATATTGAACCCCATTTTGTTCTTTATCCTGATGAATATGACTTTAAAGTCCACAGGGAACAAGTAACTAGAATACAAACGACTACTTATGAGCTGTTAAGCTTTTTGTGGTGCCTTTTTTTTCCATGTTTTCAAGGAACAAAAATCAAACTCTATGATCTCTGAGATCCTTTTCTGCATTGCATTTTCTGGTAGACATACTGGCACTTGATCTCAAAGGAAAGTGGAATGTAAAATATACTTCACTGGACATAGAAAGAGACCTTCGTAGTAAAAATAATTTTATACCAGCAGATAGTGCTAACTTTTTCTATGTTAAATATCTTGATTTTTGTAGGTAATACATGGTCACAGAATTCACTTTGTTTGCAAAACTGTTTTTGCTGGATTTACTTGAAACACAGGAGCTGACAACTTCCCTGGAGATGATATATGGTCAAGAATCTGAAGCATATGACCCAGGAGGTATTTCAACAGTTCTTTGAGTGGAAGAGTGTTAAAACAAAGAAATTAAATTGTGTCAGAAAATAATATGGACACAACTATGCAAATTCTTGCTGACTGGTTCAGTGACATCTTTAAGGTAATGCAAACAGTCAATCTTTCTTGTTGGTGAGCATGATGAAGTATGACACTGTCTAACCAAGGTAGTGAGGAGTAGGCATTAGTAGGGCCAACTACTTATGGCAGGGAGATTGTGCATATGAACAGTGGCTCTAAGCAACAGTGCTTCAATACAGTGGGAAAGGTAATGCATTGAGGAATAGAGTGTTACTTTACCTTCACTCTTAGTGCAGTGAGCTGGAGTTTATACAAAAGATGTCCTTTTAGAAGAAAGTATAGATGTCAGTACTTTTATGGAAGTATAACTTTGGGTGTGCTTTTCTATCTGTTCACTGTGTGACTGAAGTGCTTTAATTAGTCCTTTCAAGAGACCTTTGGATAGAAAAGTTTCGGATTTTAAAAGGTTCTAGTTCATAAATGCCGCTGAAGGTGGCGATGAGAGATTGGCTGCAAAGAAACAGCCAATCTGACTGGATGTGATGTAGGTGCAGGCTGCAGAGAAATATACAATAGATTTTTTTTCCTCATTGAAATATTGAGTGTGGAGAATTTGTGCAAATAAATTGTCTACCATTATGCAATACCATTCTGATGCTCTGTGTCTCTCACTCTGAGTTGTAGGAGGTTTGGAGCATTGAAGTTGGGTGTGGGTTATTTCCTATAAAAGGAGATGGGTGGTGCAAGTGGATCACCATCCACTGAGTTCTGCTTATAGAGAAAATGAGAAGTAAGAAGGTAACTGTGACTTTCCTGTCTCTGTGCTTAATATCTATGTTTTTGCTCAGTTTAGGACTCCTAGTCTTCCTGGAAAGACTGTCAGCTTCTCTCTCCCCATTCCTGCAGGCCCAGCTTCCCTGATCTCCTTGTCACACTCGCATGTAAATGTTCTCAGTTTGTGTCAACACAGCCTTCCTGCCCATGTGAATTGTACGTAATGCAAAAGGGTTGTGCCCTTTCCTAGTGTATAAGTTTTCTGCTCTTGCATTTCATTGTACCCAGAGCATTTACTGTGGCCAGATGCTGTTATGAGTATCAGTGTTCCTTGACCAGATGATAAATGCTGTTCAGCAGCAGTGTAGACTTGGTGCATGTCATGTGGAGTACAGTGTTAATGAATATAATTACTTACAGATGTTTATAATCATGTCAGGTATTAGAGGGGGCAAACAAAGAGGCAGGTGGGTTTCTGTGATTGCAATTCAGAGTGCTATTCTGCATGCATGAAAGTGGCTCAAGTTTGTCAGTATAGTGATGAACTTTGGTTTACTTATTTCAAATCTGAACTTTTCTGCAAATGCTTCAGAGGTAGAGGAAATGTACAGACTTTTGGCATGGGTTGGTAAAGCACTGGTAGGTAGACCGAGGAAGAAATTTTCGTTTATCCTTCTTAATCCCTTTGACTTGTGATATGCAATTTTTTTGTTGCAATTTAAGTTGTACCTCCTTTAAAAAAGAAATAGTGAGCAATTGTGTAAAGAAATGTTTCTTTGAAGTGTTTGCCTTCTCTTTATTTTAAGTAGATACTCCTTTTCCTCTCTTTCTGAATCCAAATTAATCTCCTGTAGCATCTGTGAGAGTATATATAATAGGAAATGGGTCAACGGCAGACAAGGAAATTTTCAGAGCCTGTATAACTCCTTTCCAGTATACAGCTCCAGGCTTTTGGAAGAAACATTGTTTGAACGTGCACTGTTAAAGTTTGTTTGTTTTTTTTTTTTTAGCTCCATTAAGGTTAAGACAATAAAATATTTCCAAGTATTTAGTGGAATACACAAGCTTGATAGGTAAACGAACAAGGTGGGGTTTGCAGGTTTCTGTTATGACTGGTATCTTGCATGTCAAATACAGGACCATATTTCTTTTTTAATTCTGCTTGCCATGTAATATCTCTTTTTCTGTAGATATGAGCAACAAAACTTTGCTAAAAACAACATTCAGTGTGATTATAAGCTGATTTTACTGATTTTTCTCTGGCACCTTCTGCACCTTGTATCTTGAAGCAAAGTTATTTCTGACTTTTATGAAACCACTTATGGTTTCCTGGTGAAATCTTTAACCTTATTTCATACTTGATAAACTGTGAAATAGATCTCAGGATGTGTCTTTATGTCAGGCTGTACCATATAGGAATGGAAATCTCATGTACCACTGTGTGGGCAGCACATGTTGATTTTTGACATGAAACTCAGGAGGATTTGGATTCTTCTTCTTTGCTTTCATTTTTGATAAAAACAAAATGAGATTAGAAAAATAAAACCCAGTCAAGGCAAGAATCAACTTTATTTTTGCCTAGTGAATCTTAATTCTGTTAGTTCTAGAAATTGGTATATTACTCAAGTGTGAGGTGAGATCTGACGCAAATCCTGATTAGATTTCCAGTAGCGCTAACTCTTTGCATTTCTTACTTGGTTTTGCTGTCTGCTTGCTAATTTCTTATTTTCAATTGCAAGGCTGATTGTTTCTTTCTGCTCTTTGAAGTGTTGTAATCTGATGTTAGAAGCATTTTGTGATTTAGAGGAAGTGGTTGGCAGTGCAGATTAAATTCTCAAAAAGATTGAGTTGACTGTTTCTGAAGAACTGGATATAGAATTAAATGTAACTTCTAATCATGCCAGCTCTGTCACAACTTTTGTATATTTTACACATATTTGATTTCAGTTTAAAACTTTTCTTAATGTATCAGACAAGATATTTGCCACAAGGCAGCATTTTTTTTTGATTTTGTGGAAATGTGATAGAAAGCCGCTTGGGTTGCTCCCCAGAGACAAAAGAATGTATTTTCCAGGCAACAGGCAGAAAGGACAGCTTCACATTACAAGAACTGGCTTAACTGTACAACTGGCTTAAATAAGAAATATTGGGAAAACTGGTTCTTCCCTCTCTATATGCAGAGAAGCTTTCTTTGAGCCCTACCAAGTTTTGATGCTTGTGTTGAAAATACAGGTGAAAATTCTGATTAAAATAATGGGATTTCCTCTCTGGGGGAATGTGTATGGACAAACTTACTTTTTCCAGTCTTAAGAGATGAACAGTTTTTCATCACTTTCATTTTACATGGGGCAAGTGTTCTTGCCTTACTGATAATCATTGTCTATAGTGGTGTTAGCCTTTTTCTCAGTTATTTATATTTTCTGATAAGCATTTCCTCCATTCTCTTTTGCCGATGTTGAGATATTTTCATTGTCTCTGCAATGAGAGTCCCTGCTGCGCCCGAGAATGGTCATGTCAGCAAAAGTTGCATCTGTCCTTTGATGTAGCATCATACTAACAATAAACTAGTAGTTTAGTCTGCTGGTGACTGCTCTCGGTGGTAGAACCAGTGACTCTCATTGGTTGCATGTTCTAATGTTCCATATCTATTTAACTGTGGTATCCTTCAAAAGAATTCTTTTGTAGCACGTGGAATGTGAAAGTGGACTTCTGCATAGAAATGCCAATCAGTTTTATTCTACTGAAACTCTTGGATGACTTGCTAACTGCCCTTTTAGAACCTCCATAAGAAAAGAGAGAAAAATCTGATAAATTTTTCCATTAACAATGGAACTTCTCAGTAAAGGTTTTACATCTTAAATATTGTTGTGTATAAATGAAGAATGACTCTCAATATTTATCTTCCTCTATGTAATTCAGTCCAGGAGCATGATGAAGCAGAGAAGGGAATAATTATAAGTACTTACAATAAAGTAATGTATAAAGTGCATCACGAACAAAGTATGATCACTGTCATACGAAACAGATACTTGGCCAGTGCTGAGGTGTGTTTATGCCTTATCTATTTCTATGACACTGATCTATACAGATAACCCTTTCTGACATAATTTCTTTTTGATAAATGTCTTTATCTTTTTATGAGAAAATTCTAGGTGTATATTGGTGATGAGAGGTAGGTTGGGTTAAAGCTTCAGATTTCCAGTGGTACATTACCTTAGCCAACGCTTCATTTCAGTTAAATACAAAGATACTTTCTTAAAAAATAAAGCAGTGGAAACTGGAATCTCTGGATTCATGACAAATCAGTAGTATGTAACTTAAGGGGATTGAGCTCTAAGTAGAATGTTGGTTTTTTCAGAAGATTGTTAGTGTAATGAAAATGAAACACAGTAAACCCCCTCTTCTGTGGAGAAAGACCCTGAAAAGCTGAATTCAAATGGGCTCCAGGCAGTTTCTCTAATGCATTGGACTAAAGCATATCAAAATAGAAAGCTAATACTTCCTGATTTTTTTATTTTCTTCCTAGTTCAAAAAAGCAGGCAGAGGAATGACTGAATAGAAGACCCGATATTAACAACTTATTATCAGTTAAGAAAATTGTGAAAAGCTTAAAGGCCCAAACAAGATGGAAGCTGATTGAAAAGAACAGCTTTGAGGACGTATGAAAATGTTATAGTGCTGGTATTTTTGTCTGTTGTTTTTCAGATTGGTTTAGAAACATTAATTTAGTCTATTCCAAGTAAGCGGTAACTATGTCAAACAGTTTTCTGAATTCAGTTTTGCCTTTAAATGTGGAAGTTTTACAGCCCTGAGGCCAAGCTTGAATGGCATAAAAACCAAAAAACCCCAACCAACCAAGCAACCAAAAAAGAAAAAACAAAGTCAGTATGTAGTCCTTTTTCTGTTTCAGTTCCCAGCCATGGCACTATGCTTTTAACTTATTCCCTCCGGTGACGGGTGTTGTTCACAGCGCGATAAGTTTTGTCCATCTCTTTCTACTGTGCTGGTTGTGTATTACTCTAACATCCAGCTTTGTTGATGTGTGTGCCTCCTCTTTGGTGACAGAAGTCAATGTCCCAGTTTTCAGGGTTCCCCACTGCCACTCAGAGAAGTTTAAAGAATGTAAATATTACTTCAGCTTCACTGGTAATATTCACTTCAGCTTCAGTGCTGTTTGTTTGATCATGCATTAATTATTCTGATGATGCTTAAGGGAAAAAAGAACTTGCACGTGTGCCTCAAACACTGTAAAGGGGCAGTAAGCTCCCAAGAGGGATTTAAAATAAGATACAGTAATGAAACCTATTGGGAAAAAGATTCTTGAATAATGAGGCGACATGAAAAATGTGCCTGCGTATGAGAGAAAAAAGTGAATGAATTATAGAACCTGGTGTTGCTCGTAGATGAATGATGTTGCTATTATGTTTATTGGTGATCAGCTAATCAAAAGGAAAAATCCAGCCTTTTGATTTAAGAAAGAAGTAGGCAAAGGGCTAGAACATTTGGTGTGTCACATAAATGAAGGGAACACCTTTCTCAGTGATTAGGTTTTAGGGGGTTCTCTTTCCAGGAAGGAGACTGAGTAAAATAAGTGTTTGAGAATATGTTCAATTTCTGAATTGTGATACAGAAGCTGGTTTTTAATCCTGTTATAGTAGATTACTGTTGCTTGGTACGATAGAGTCAGAATTGTACACAAACTTTGCTATTCCTAATCCTGATGATTACAATGAATTTGAAATGACATCAAAAAACTTCCTCTTCCACTTAACATAAAATTAAATTCCAACTGTTATAGACAGGTGTGGTGGGGGAAAAAAGTTTTCCCCCTGGAGTTAAAAAAAAATGGTAAACCCCTGAGGGGGTGGTGTCTCTCTTAGTGTTGAGCCAATTAGCGCTCCTGCAAAATTAAAACATATCACCCCAGACCAGAAGAGAAGGTTAGAGGTAGTAGTTGTTGGAGAAAGTGGCCATGTTGTAAAAGCCACGAGGAGAAGGAGCAAGAGCCCCTCTGGGGGGCCACGGCCCCCCAGCCCCAGCTGGGGTCATAGAAACTCGGAAACAGTGTTAAACTGAACCGAGGTCTGTGACTGAGAAGCTGGAAGTTTTTCTCTACTGTGAGTGGGCAGCAGGAGCGGTGGCAGAGCAGCAGCATACGGAGGGCAGTGGCAGAAGGCTCCCCAAAACCCTTTTGAGACCCCTCCTAGGAGGAGGTGAGATGGACTCCTACTTGAGAGGAGTCTTAGAGTGCTGCAGCACCGGAGAGAGGAGCTAAAAAGCTCAAGGCGTCCCGGAGCTGGACCGGGATGGCCGAATGGAATGTGGAGGAGGGCCTTGCCCCCCTGCTGCTGCTGCTAAGGTAGCAGCCTGAGACAGAGCACGGGAGCTCTGCAAGGGAGCTTGAATCCCCTGAGGATAGGGACTGTCATGAAGACTCCTGCACTCCGTGATATGCCGTGGTGAAGCGACCTTTGTCCCGGTGAACGCAGCCCATGGAAGAGAAAGACCCTCGTTTGGAGTCGAAGGGCCGAGAGGGGCTTGGAGACCCCCCTTGTGCGTATTTGGAAAGAGGTCCAGCTACAGCTGTTGCATGGAAGAGAGAGAGAGAAACTGCTGCCCTAGAGAGACTGCTGCTCTGAGAGTGGAAAGGATCTTTCCTTTTCCCTTCTGGACTCTTATTGGAGGGAGAAGAGATTGATCCATTGTAAATACTGATTTATTATAGGAGAGATAGTTAAGATTATTTATATGATGTATTGTAATATTTATTTGTACAGTGATTGTAATATAATCCCTTCCCCCCATATTGAGTCTCGTGTTTGTGTCTGGAAAACCCATCTCACACTGGGTTGAGATGAGAGAGGGGGGCTTGGACTTGAGAATTGGATTTTGGAGCTCTCAAACCAGGACAACAGGGAACCTTACAAATTTTTGACAGCTGAATTTTCTGAAAGGTCCCACTCAGTACAGATAGTGTAATTGTGAAAATTACAAGAGCTGAGGAAGACTGTCCTTCTCTTTAGTCCTTCCTGCAGGTATGGGCTGTGTTGAAATAAGCAGCTTGCATGATAGAACAGGAAAGTTTCACCCATGGTTCACAGCCTGGGTCCAGTGTGTGCCTTCTCTGCAAAGGTGTCAGTACTGCTCAGGGCTTGTACTTTCTGCACGATCACAAATGGAGCTGGTAACTGGTAACTGATGTGTTACCAAGGACTCTTAGCAATCTGCAAACTAGTCTTCTCCAGTTTGTCTATAGCTGGTGCTGGCTGCTGTCATGGAAGAGGATAGAAACTTGGGGTATAGCTCTTATTTTGACAGTAGACAATTCTAAAATATGCTGGAAAGCAGGAGTGGGGAAGCAATTAGTTCCAGGTAAAGAGCAGAAAGTCAGAGAAGAAAAAATAGGAAAGCCGGCAGAAATAAAGTTCTTGAAAATAGTGTTGAATGTCTTTGTATATTTGTAAAGTTTTTTTCTTACCTGAGAGGTTTTGCAATTTGTATTCTCTGCCATCTTATGAGCTTTAATAGTTCCTTAGTGCGTGGTATGCCAGGGAGGAGAAAGCAGCCTACTTTCCTTCATTAGGTGATATGTTGGACAGCATCTCCTCCATGTCCTTATTGTTTTCTGGCACTGTATTGCTGCCTCCCAGCTCAGGCTGGCAGTGCCATGTGTTCTAAATGGGAAAAGTTCAAAGCTCCCAAACTTGAAAAGCCACAAGCTACCCAGCAAGTGCTTATGTTCCCATGCAGTGATTTTGCATGAGCAGTTAATATATTGGAACTGGTTCACTGAGTATCAGCTGGAGCTCCAGGTATATGGGGGTCTTCCTGGGAAATACTGGCAGTTCTTTCATCTGCACAGGGATGGCTTCAGTAATGCTTTCTGTGCTGCAGCATTTTAAATACACTTCCTAACAGTGCAAGTTGATAGGTAGCCACTGGCAATTACCTGAGTTGAGAAGATGAAGCTGATTCATATAAAAGTAACTCTTCATTATGCTTTATTGCCAATTTTGGAAGCTGTTGCTTAAAATTAAGTAATTTTTCTACTCAGATGAATAAGTGATGAAATAGATGAGCTAAAGTGTAGCTTGATGTCGTAGATGTTTATAATTTACTAACGTTGTAGGATTTAGTTAGAACACTTCTACTACCATTATTCAGATAATCTGTTCTAAAGGATTTTGTAAGTAGAAGTGAGGGTAAAAAAATAAAAACAGTAAAAAAACCAAACAGAAACTCCCAAAGAAACAAAGACTGCAACAAATGACTGGTTCTGCTTGAAGAGACTATCTGGGATGCAGCAAGATTGGCATTCTGAACCCTCACCCAAATTTGCCAGCTGAATTTCAGATTACCCCACATGTAACTAATCTTCAGCTCAGACTTGGTCTTGCATTGATCATTTGATGGAAAATTCTAGCTCAAGTCTTAATATTACATTCCACAGTTGCCAGTTTCATGTTAGGCATCCAAAATTGTGTTCTCCCTCATTAAGCAGCACAGACACTTCAAAAATGGAGACAGTGATTTTTCCGAGTTCTCTGCTGATCTGTGTCCCGAGAGCCCAGCACTGACAAAACACATGCTTCCTTTTGCTGTCTATGTAATTGTTCAGAGTAGAGGAATTTTCAGCTTAACCTGCAGGCAGTGTCTGGAAAGTGCTGTACTTGTACATGCTTCTGGGCAATAGTGAAAACTGGGGGGATTATACTTGGTTTATGGGTACAGAGTTCACTTTTGTCTGCTAGAGTACACTTACCCCTCAACATTTCTTAAAGAGGATTATGTAATTAAACACATAACTTGGGCATGTACTTTTGAGTCATATTTTTAAATGTCTATTTCTTTTGACCTCTAAAACTTTCTTCTGATACTATTTTTTTCCTCTTGTTTCTGTGTAAGGGAAACTTGAGCACCTTGCATGTTTTACCCTACTTTAAAATTAGAAAACAATCTTTCCTTGCCATTTTATTGTATTAATCCATTTTCATTTGAAACCTGGTGAATCTTCTTGACTGATGTTTGGTTTTCCTAACTAAAAGGAAAAAACACCTGTGTTATTTCAGCTTTGCATTCAAAACCAGGAGTTTGGCATATAAGAAGATGGAACACCTGAGGTAGATGTGGTTGCCATGGTATGTCAATTGTCAGATGAGGAAGATAAGACTGCTCTTGTTTAGAAGTGGTTGATCAAATTTTAAAGTCAAATATTTCATTTTAAGTGCTGGCTTGAAAAATGTTCTTAATTGACTATTTGCATAATTCTAGATAGAATGCACAAATAAAATGATGACTGAGAAGGTAGAAAGCCCCAGAGTTTTCTTAATATTTAACTCAGACCTCAGAAGGAGCAACTTCTTTACCATTAATTGAATGACACTAAGTTACAGACTTGGGGAATAAGTCATTGAGATTCAGCCTCAAAGGAGGTGTTTGAATTAGAAATCTATCTTTTCTGAAGTGAGGAAGTTGACTTTGTTCATCTGTCTTACTACATAATGACAGCACAGTGCTTGAGCGTTAATAAAACCACCAAATTCCATTTTAAGCACTTAAATGCAGTTAAAAAACTGTACTGTGCCCTTTACTCTTTGGATTGGGTTTCTTTTTTGTGAAACAAGTTTTCCTATACCTCTGAAACAAATGTGCAGATATAAGTAAACCCTGCATGATACAAATTTGTGTTTTCATTCTTTCTACTCTCAATACTGTTATTCTCTCTCTACCTTATGCCAGCAGCTGTTTTTCCCTTGAACTCTATTTCCAGACCCTTTTTTTGAAACTTATCCTGTTCCAGTGTCCCAGTGACTATTTGAGAATAAGATCTGTGCACCTTCATGCTTCACAACTTGGGTCTCCAACTCTGAAGTTGCTCTTTCACTAACTTATCTTTCTCTTGGATGAGCACCCAATTTTATCACCTCATCTCCGTGCATTCTTTACTTGAGTGCTTATATTTCCTTGGGTTTATTTTCTTGTGTAACAGTCATTCACATAATCTTTCAGTCTTCTGACCAGGAATTAAGACCAAATAATAAATTCCTCTATCTTGGTTATACTTGTGTATTAATGATTTGCCAGCTTTACAGAGATGACTGTTTAAGATGGAGTTAAATTACTGGAGTTGTGTTCATAATGAGCTTAGTGTATCCTGTTTACTGTGTTTAGGTTAAGAAACTGTCATGATACAGTACCAGACTAACACAGCTATAATGGCTTCAGTGTCCTGGCAGGGTAGTTTGTGTATCACTGTATAACATTGTACTGCAAATAATCTTGCTTTATTAGATGACTCCTCTACAGTATGTCTTTTAACAACTCCGCTTTGACAGTGTTCTTCAGTGATGAAAACATTACTGATAACGCACAGGACTGTCTACCAAATCCTTCTGCAAAATTATTTCCAATGGGACACTACCATGGAAAATAGAATAATAAAACATGCAGCATTTGAGCAGAAAGGTGATCCTGTAAATGTGCATCTTATAGCTCATTACAGTTGCCTGATTTTTTTTTTTAAATTAAAAATTAAGTGAATCTCATGAAACACACAATACTATAGGAAAGAAGATTCAGTACTTCATGATTGAACATTAGGGCCAGCTAGGGGGTTTTAAATGTATTTCACAAAATTTGTACAGAGCCATTTGCCCAGTGCAGCGTTCAGGATTAAGCATAATAATCCTTAGATACTAAAACTCCCTAACTTTATTTCATGTATAAGGGAAACTTAATTGTCCAAGGAATTAGGAAAGATTTCTTGGGACATTAAAACTAGTCGGTTCACTTCTGGTTTCCATAAAATTTCTGCTGTGACAATGCTTTACAAATAAAGTCTGAAGGATACAAGATACAAATCAAAGTTTAACTGGCTGGTTTCGGGGCATTATATTTCTGTGTTCTTCTGTAACAGGTACCTTCTGAAGTGCAAACAGCTGCTTTTGTTTCAAGAGCAATTAATTAATTTAGTTAGTGTTGTTTTTAGCAGGGATGAATTAATATTACAGCTTTTAATAAGAGCAAATTTCTATGATTTTTTCCCCCCTGATGAAAAGAAGCAGCATTGGATTTTTACTTTGTTTTTAAGGATTCATCCTACATGTGTGTACATGCATGTGCCTCACCACTAAAGTCCACCAGTAAGCAATCTGTGTTGCTTGCAGTGCTCAGAAATACAGATGAGGGTTTTACTAAGAAATGTAGTACTAATAAATATCTTTCAGCTGTTTCTTGGGGAATCTTTTAGACCTCTGGCTGTTAATCCTTGTCCCAGTTCTTGGGGAAAATCTATTTTGCTTTAAAGTGCTTTATCTATAATCAGCTTATTCGGAATTAATCTCCATGCCCATCTGCAGGCTCTTGACAGACCATAATTTCCCTTCCATCTCAATCTTGTGCCCAGAGGAATTGCACACTTGCAATTAGTAAAATTTTTGTTGTTTTCAACAAATGCAAAACTACCACAGGAAAATAACATAAAGCTTTAAAACAGGGATAATAATGTTAGGTAACTGTTGAGGAAAGGCAATGTTTAGTGGAAAGATCTTGCAGCCACTCATTTAGCTATGTCAGCCTTCAATGTTCAGAGTGTTTCAGCATCCAGTGTTGTGTATTTAAAAAAAAAAAAGTAAGTAAGATCAAACAAAATGAAATGGAGTAACGAAGATGAAATGTTGTCCTACAGCAGTATTCCTTGTGAAATCAATTTTCAGTTTCCTTAGTGTGAGAAGGTAATATTTATTGTTGATAGACATTTGACAGTATCTTGAAATGCAAATACACAAGTACAAAGCTTTTTAAGCTCTTCAAGTGCTCAGATTTTCCTCACTTTATTTTGCAGAGGAAGTATGTAGTCATGATTTACTCCTGTATTTCATTGCATATCCCCTTATCTAGAGATTTTCCTTTGAGTATTTAAAATGTTTTACAAATATTGAACAACCCTTTATGCCTGCAAGATCAACAGTTTTCAGATTATCTGGGGAGTGACTAATTCTCCATAGTCACTCTGATAATTAAAGAATTGGAAATTGCTTGTTTCTGTCTTCAAGTTTTTGACTACTTGTGTACGTTCCTTTGCATCACAGTGATTCTTTTGTCAGGGTGAAAGAGGGATAGTGAGAGGTGTACAGGTATCTTGTGCTTTCTGTTAATATTGACCCTGGTCAGAAGAGTTGCTGGCTTGGAGACTGTGAACAAGCAAGCCTTCCTATGGAAAGATTCTGTTCCAGTTGAGGTTTAGTAACTTAGATCTCTAGATCAGAATTTGAGATTGTCTTTCTTGTAGTCCCTTTGTCCAAATCCAGTGTGTTCTCTTTCTTGCTCAACAGCTGATGCTTAAGCATATGTGGATTTGTGTTTTGTCTATGGAGTCTAGTGCTGTTAATGTGCTAAGTATTTAGGCACATAATCTCTTCTGATAAATCCAAAGAGCCTAAGTGTAAGTGATGGGTTAATAGCAGAATAGCTGCTGTTGATTTAGAGCCCATTACTTTGGTTTTCTTTTCCCCCTGTGCTCCTGTAGAGAGATGAAACAATATGACAAAAATTAAAAGATGAAGTTATAGAAGGTGAATAGCACCTGTTTTGTTCCTTCACAGTAGAAAGATCAGTTTGAGTATTTCTGTAATTTATAGTGGTTCAGTGAATTTATATTTCAAAAATTTCAAAACCTTATGCTTTCTGTGAAATCTACTGGCACCAGGTTGACAGACCTAGTGATGAACATTTGATTGTATTTTGTTGCTAATGAGCATTATGACTGTCAATGCTGCTGCCTGTTGGGAATGCTATGGCACAACATCTTGTGAAGGCTTTGAGCCCTAAGCACTTAGAAGATGTGTTCATCAAATGCTTGCTTTTAATTTGTAATCGAGTTTGTTTTGCTTACTTATGAAATCCTTCTCCCTCTGTAGGATGATAAAGTTAAATCTCTTCTCTTGAATTTGTTCTGCTCTAACAGACTGATGCCTGAGCAGGTGCTGAGGAATGATTGCTTCCTTGTAGTAGATGCAATTCCACTCTCACTGCAACCAGTGAAAGAGTATGAGCCACATAAAAAAACATGATTCTGAGAAAAGACATGAGGAAAAAAAAAAAGTGATCAACTGAGGAGAACGGAGCAAACTCTGCTTAATAGATGAGAAACTTTTCCATCAGGTGTTTGATTGATCCTTCTGGTTTTGTTTGGTTTTGAAATCATTGACCTGATCTGAAATCTCAAAATATAAAAGGTTAGCTAGGTGCAATCATGTTTTGTGATTATGCAGTCTTCACTGTGTTTTCTTTTAATTATATTTTATTCTAATTAAGTGTTTGGGGAGATAAGTATGATGTTACTCGTATTCTTAGTTTGTCGGCCTTTTTCTCTATGTAAGCTTTAAATTTAAAGAGATTAGTCTTGTTAGATGGCAGAGATCTTTAAGATGAGGCTTTAGTGAGTTGTTTTTGTATCCAGTTATCCCTCTTCATGCTCTGATTCCAGATAACATATTCCTCTAAAAGATGCTCTAGGTTTTTTTGCTGGAGTTTTGTTGTTGTTGCATAGACAAGTTGTTCCCACAGCAACTGCCTTCAGGATTTAAGGAAAAAACCCAATGTACTGCTTTGAGAACTGGTGAAAGAAATGGTGAGCACCCTTCCTCTTTTCTGTCTTTCTGCTTTTGAAAAATGGAATTGGCTTTGTAGAGAGCAGTCATCCTTCTAGTTGCTCCTTTGCAGTGCTGCTGCCAGCCAAAATACTATACACATACATTAACAAAAACTACTGCTTATTTGCTCAACATCACTGTGTGTATATATGATCCTTTCTTAAATGTTGTTTGCAGTAGCTATAAAGGTGTGGTTTTCATCAAAAGGCTTGTTTCCCTCCAACACTTTGTTGTTGTTGTTACTATTGAAAAAGTTTTGTCAGCTCTTTATCTTTACAGGAAATTGTTGTTTATCTTTATGAAGGTTTTCAATGCTCCTCAGAAAGAAACAGATCCGAATGCACAGTGTTGCTGCAGCTGTATATTTAGCCTCTGGGTGTTGCTCTTGGACAGCTCTGTTGGCAGACTATTTTGCAGAGGAATTACTGAAGCTGCTTGTTGTCGGATGAAGAATGTAAAAATGCAGTATGTAGTAGGCAAGCAGCAGCACCAGGGGAATTGGGGAGTCCTCAGGTACAATAATACGGTCCACAGTGGATAGAAGCCACCACCTTGGCAGACTCACCACTGATATTAGACTTGGTTTTCTATCCTTAAACAAATTAGATTTCTTATATGGAATAGCATGTAAGATGTTTCATCCTCTTTTCATTAAATATAATTATTTTTTGAGTTTTGTAATGTGTGTATAACCAATGATAATAAAACCTTTGTTAAAAGTATTTTTATATAGAATTTTTAGTTAATATTTTCATTACAGAAATCACACAGGAATAATACCTTGTCAGTGAATAAAAACAGTTTAAAAGTTTTGTGGAATGCTTTCCAAATACTGATTGCAGTCTTTCACCATTAATAAAATGTTAACTTTAATTTTAATTAATGTTAAACACTGAAGAGAGGTTAGAAGACTAACCTGATCATGCTGTGTAACATATGTTAGAATAAATTTTTGCCCAGTTGTCCTGCTCCAGAGCCCATGCAACTTAGAGTGTACTTAAATCCCCAAATTGTTAACCCTCTTGGTTTTCTGAAACCAGAAGTCTCTGTGTATGCTTGATTAAAAAAAAAATTGCAGACCCTTCAAAATCTCTTCACCAGCTGTAAGTAATATGAAACCTTTTGTTACATATGAGCCTTTTCCATTTAAATTAAATGCTGATTACAGTTTTAGGGTCACTAGTTCTGTTTGTTTCTACTTTGACATTTTCTATGGTAATTTTGTAGCTCTGGCTTTCTTGTCATTTCTTACTTGCCAGAGGCCTTAAGAAAATAGGTTGGTTGAGGGTCATGTTGCCAAAGTTGAATACTAATTTATGGTAATGGACTGCCTGCTGTGTAGTTCAAGACTCATCTCTTTCAACTGCATCCCTTATGGCTAGAAGGTGGATACTTGGAGGATAGAGAGGGGAGGTTGAAATGATCCTGTAGGAACCATCTGCCTTTTTTCTCACTTGCTGCTTCTTCCAAGAAGCCCAAAGGAAACTTGCCTCAGTCTTCCTTGGTATCAGCATTCTGCAGTGTCCTTGCAGAGACCCAGGATGGTGGGGGCCTGTCAGGTGGGAAGCAAGGCATTCAGTTGCTGTCATGGGCCCCAGACACTCATGTCTTCTTACTTACTTATGCCTTTAAGGGTAAACCAGCAGGTCCAGCTCCAGGTGCTGACAACTTTCTTTCATGAGGACTGTTATTTTCATTACTTGTTCAGATTTGTGTTCTCTGTGCACTCACCTTGGTGTTCACCAGTTGTGACTTCATATCAGTCTTGGCTTTTGCTCACAATGTCATATCCAAGTTGGCTACTACCATTGCCTTCTAGGCTGTAGATCTGGTAACAAAGTCTTCAGGCACTTGCAACCACTTCCTCTGCCTTTACCTAAACTAGCCTGCAGACCTGGTATAAGGCTGGTTTTCTTTGGGAAGAGGAGATCTTTAAGCAGGTTGGGAGAACATCAGCATTTCTTATCTCCATGGTTTGGGTGGAGCTGGGGGAACTACTCTGGTTCTGAATGCTGCATCTCCGGTCAGTTCTGGTGACTTCTCCTGTTCTGTTCACTGCCTCTTAATCTTCATGCTTACACTAACATCCATAATAATATTACTACATCTTTCCAAGTTGTTTGCTGCTCACTCCTTTAGTATTTAACACCAGTGCCTGTGTAGTTTTTAGAAGGGTTGCGGTGGGTGTGGTCTTTTGTACTTCAAAGCAGCTCTCTGCTAGTACAGAGTCCTACTTATCAGCACTCACTAGTATTTTAACGATTTTTTCCTGCAAGTTTGTATAGCCTGCAGATTGAATTATATTCCTTCATAGGTAACTGCCTCAAGAACTTCCCCTAAATGAACGAAGATTGATTTCATTTGCAGTCACTTAATTTTCTCAGTGTCTAAGGAAACTGATTTCAAATCAGGAGTCGAGTAGCTTGCAAGTTGATGACTTTCTTGACCACAGTGGATGTCTGAGAGCCAGATCTTCATTCACATAATTTAAAACCCTCATGACAACTTTCCTCAGATTTCTGGGTGCGTACTGACAGGCACTAAGATAATACACCATGCCACAGCTCCTGCAGTAGTTGTCTTGGAAAGTGTTTTTCCCAGCTGACACACTATAGCTAGATAAACCAAAAACAATTGTCAAATTGTCTTAAAGCTGCTGTTATGACATGTGGTAGAGCTCATGGGTTCAGGTGCTGGATTTGGGTTTTGGCAGCTTTAGATTCAGGGACTGCAATACATAAAGATCACACTGTGTGGAAGCCTATGTTAAAACCATTTGAATTGGATTTTTCTAAAATATATTTTAGAATCCTTTCTGACTGGCATTTCTGTGTTAAAACTGTAAGGTATGTTATTAATACATGGGGAGAAACAAGATTTGACCTGCTGTGTGAAGATGTGATGATTTGCATTTTTTACCTGCTGTGTTACTAGTAGCCATTTAGCTGCCTCAGGCCTATGGATGAGACCCCTTCCCCCTTGCTGCACAGCAGAGGTGGGAAAGCTTACCAAAACTCCCTGACACACCTTTCTTCACTGTGAACTTCCAGCTATTCAACTTCCCTGCAACCTTAACAATTGGTAGCATAGTCAAGCAGACTGGATCTGTTCTGTCTCATCTTGACCAGCCCAGTGTGGACTAGAAGTTTCTGATATTCTGAATATGGTATTGCAAGTTTAATAGCAACCCTCTGACTTCTTTATGACCTCCTTTTCCAACTCTATGACCTGGTGTTTTGGCAAAGCCAAGAGATGTACCACCTGGCATCAATATACTGGGTACTGGCAGATTTGACAGCTCTAGAGAAAGAGTCCTTGCTTAAAGTGAAAGAAAGTGGTGCACATTTGGGGCTTTAAGATGCAAGATTATATTCCTTTAGATGACTCAACAGCAGATTTTGCCCATGCCACGTCTGTCTTTGGTTTTGTCTTCTTCCAGATGTGGCCTAGGACACCTGTGCTGTAAAAGTGCATGTTGCAGCTTCATGATTAGTACATGGTTACATGTACTTAGTTCCAGGGCTGAGGGAACTCCAGCACTTACCAAGCACTCCGTGCATTGCTGCAGCTTGTCTTTCTAACTAAATTCTTGAGAACTTTTCTTCTTTCACTCTGGTAATAAAGATTTTCCTGTTGCTCTCAAAGACAGTCTCTTGTGGTGTTACCAGAACCAGAAAATCTGTGAAATGTAAGTTCTTAATAGTGTTGCCTAGTGTACCCTGTGGTGGATTAAGTTATTGTCTTGCCCAGTCTTGCCCTGCCAAGGCAACAGTAGACACAGGAACAATTCTAGCAGTAGAAAAAGAGTTATGTACTCAGTAGACAGTCTTGAAATTTTGTCGAAGGATTTTTAAATGGTAATTAGCATACTTCAAATTTTTATGCAGTTTTTGTATAACTGTGGTAAATTGCAAGCTGTGCAAGCCCTACCGGCTGAAATACTGAACAAACACACAAGAACCCTTGTGCAGCAAAAAAGTCACATGCAATGTGAATGTGTATGGCCAGCACAACTCAGAGGATTTCTTTGTGTACAAGTATTTCAGTTTACAGGATTGATTTAGTCTCCCTCAGGAGAGAAACTAGGAGAATTCCTTTGGAGCTAGTAGATTGAAGATGCTTTGGTCCAACTACTGTGATGAAAGCTGGGTGAATGCTCCATATCAGGAGGTGAAGACTGCTGGAATTGAAAGTTATTTGAAAAACTTATTTTTTTTTTCCTCATAGAACTTTGGTTAAAGTTGAAACTGCTGTCGGGAAATGCAGCTCTGTTCCATAAGCAACTTCTCTTCCTTCTAATTTAAGATAACTGTCAAAATGGTGATTTCACAAAAGCAATGCTGACCTCTCTTTGATGGCTGGTTGTGACTTGCAAGAGCAGTTAAGGCCACAGTTTCCAACGCATCTCACGAAAGAAAAAAATATCTCAAAGTTGTTGTGGCTGGACAACAGTATGTTTAC